GAGAGAGAGAGAGAGAGAGAGAGAGAGAGAGAGAGAGAGAGAGAGAGAGAGAGAGAGAGAGAGACATGGAATCAAATCCTGGCCACACAGGGATTTATTCATAAAAAAGTCACATGGCTGCCCTATCTGGACTGTGCCTCATGGTCGTGCTGCTGCTTCCTGCTGTTTTCAAAAAAAAAAAATCTAATATATGTTTCTATTTTGCATATAACATTAACATTTCCGAGCATGTTATTCAAACTGAGGGTATAAAGATGTGTCGTATGTTGTACAGAATTTAAAACTCTCAGAGGCAAATGTTTGATTTCGAACTATTGGTAAAACTGACTTGACTTGAGCTTGTGAAAAAGAAAGAAAGTGCGTCATCAGTCTTGCAATTTCCTCTCAGTCCTACCTCCTGCTATTTCATCAAACAACACCTGCTATTTTCACTTGCTCAACAGTTGTTTCTCAATGTTTACCTGCGTTGATGATGTGTGTGCGTGGGCTACGTGTGTGTAGAAGACTGATTGTGCATCTTCGTTATGATGTTGTTATTATGAGTGTTGACAGCCCGCAAGTGAGAGCTATACGTTTCTTAACTGAATGATTTCGCTCCATTCCCATGTTTACGTCACATCTTCACCGCCAGAGATGAGTCATTTCTAGCACCCCTGAGTGTGACCCATGATAGTGAGCTAAATCAGTACAGTGAAAATTACAGACTGGGGACACCTGTGACAAGTACAGATCAAGACCGCCGTGTCTGGTGCAGCAGTTAAGTTGGGAGCTTAATCCACTTGCACTATTATATTATTTCGCCCACACAGATAATCACTTCTCTTCAGTTTGGCTTTTTGCTGCCTTATTTCGCTCTATTTAGCATCTTCCAACAAGACCACACTCCCAATCTTCAGGGTAGGAAAAAATGAGGATGTCTGACCCTGTGCAGCTGCTGTCGCCATCATTACTCACTCTGTCACCCCCCGAGTTTGATTAATCTCCACCATGTTCGGTCATCTCCTCTCCCTGTCCATTACTCTGACCCTCTGTGTTTATGGAGCAGATTAGGTGGCGCCATCAAATTCCCACTAGGTTGCCCTTTGTTATGAATGAAGACCTGCAGCATATGTGGGAAGACTTTAAGTGGTCCGTGGCACATGCTATGACATCCCTGGTCTGCAGGGCGACGAGTCACATTAAGACTCCAAATCAAACGAAACAGGCCATCAAAAAAGGAATTCAGACAAAATAACTCTCCACTGCTTTCAATTTCCCTCTTCACTCTCACCACTTCTCTCCGGTGCTTATTCCACTATCTCCATCGATCACACCCTCTCATCTCACTGTCTGCTGAGAGCTGAGGTGTTTAATACATGCATGCACATACGTGCAGAGCGACCAACATGCTGTTTTGTAGTGCGACTGCAGTGGGCTCTGCGGCTCGTGTGTTGTAGTCTGTCAGTCAACAGTAAATGGTTTCGTTCGGTGCCTCCATCAACTGTTCCGGGGGTGCAGTTGGCTTAGTGAAAAGCCTCAGATGACATTGACTATGCTGGATTAGCTACTAGCTGTGACATTTACCAATACCTTGGTCTTACAAGAGCAGAGCCGGCTTTTCCCTGATAGGTACAGAAGGCCAACTGAATATAATATCTGAAAACTGAATCAGAGAAACAGATGAGACCTTAAATATTCATGGATGGAATACAAACCCCATTATTCATTCATTCACTATTTCACTGCATATCTAACAATAGACTCTGCCACTACAGTCTACTTTCATCTTGACTTATTTTAACGTTAATGTTAGCAGGAAATCTGTTCACCGGCCTTTCACATTCAACACTTAAATTGATGATAAATTAACAGCGATGATGTGTTCAAATTGAGGTTACACAAGAGGTGGAAAAGCTTTAATGAACTTTGCATTTGCACAGGTGAACTAAACAGTGTAGAATGTATAACATGCATGTACACACGGGTGTCCAATATAGCGGCATGCTGTGTGCATCCGACAAAATAGAGATACATTACTGAGATCTGCAGGTAAAGAGGTAAAGCACTCTATAATAAGATGAATATGGCAGAAAAATTGAAGCACTGTTCTCTGACATATCATGATTTCTGCAAATAGGAAACCTCTAGACGTTGCAACAAAGTAACAGTGCTCACAGTGCTGCTAGTCTGTAAACAGAGAGCAGACTGTGTGCCAGAGCCGATGGTCAGCCACGGTTGATAGGCACTGCACTCACACACTCATGAAACCAGCTCCCCACACTTCGAGCGCTGCGGGCTTCCCTTCTGTCATTTGGCTCTTTGAACTGAAAATAGTTCTCCAAATAATTAGTGCAGCAGAGGGCAAACTAAACATTGCAAAATGGGCAGTGTTTGGTTCATGTAATGTCTGGATTTTTCCTGTAAAGTTGTAATATAGCAGCTTCAGTGTTAAGTCTGCAGTGACAGTCGGTGCATTTCTAGAGGCTCTCCAGATATAACAGGGATTTGTCCGCCAGTTGTCTGTCACAGGTGGTGAAGCACTAAAAACTGGTGGAATATTCATAATACACCCACATCAGGAGCACCACATGCAGCACAGCTGGGCGGATCAGCTCAAAGAGCAAGATTCACAGCGAGAGTGAAAACACTTAACCTGAGGGAACTATCTCGCTCTTTAGCCGCTCCACTATGTTAACCAGCTAGTCACTACATTTGCCTGGCTGCTGTTTAGATAGTGTGCCTTGAGAGCTTTTTATCTGTAAACTGCTGCTTGGTGCAATGTTGTGGGCCATAAAACCAAAACAATGAGCTGAAAGAAGCTACAGTATATAATACAGCGGTGTAACAATACAATGGACAGCTGATGCAGATGTGCCTCACATCATATGTATTTGAAATCGCTTGATAAAGACAGCTCCGAGGCAACAATGTCTCATGCCCGATACTAGAGGTGGTGAGTTATCTCACAACATCAAAAAGTATATTTCAGTATGCAGCATGGTGATCCTTGTTAATCCCTGTTTCCCCTTTGTAGGTTCACTTGCTGCTGTTTTGCTCCTTATTGTTTTGAGTTATACCAACTGGGCTGTTTGTTAGTTTGGAGTCTTTTTGGAAAATATCCCTTTCCTCCAGTGAAGCAGGGTGCCATTGTTGGGAGGGCACCCACCAAGCACTGGGACACAAATGTAGACGGCGCCATTTTCTGTTTTGAGGATTGGTGTGTTGCACCTGAGGTGAATAAAGAGTAGCACCCCTGGGCCCTTCTCAGTCCACCAGTGGCCGCAGCTCAGTTGTTCCACTTGTAGCTCATGTTGGACCGGCAACTTGTTTAGATGATTAAGGGTTATGGTTATGGTTTTAAATTTGTATTAAGGCCTTTTATCCAAAAATACACAATCTCCATGCAACAAACAGAAGCACATGGCTAATTATCATGCAGAATGAGGGCAAAGGATTTCATTTTCCACAGGTGGAAATCGCTGAAATTGACGTCCGTTCTAATATTTTTTCCCCAACTTGAATGTTGCAGACGAGTAAAAGCATTCATAAGGACCGACAAAGTACGTTGTTATACATTTCTGTGACAATTCTTCCGACGGAAATTTGTGCCTGGTGTGAAAAGGCTTTTAAACAGCTTGTAGTTTAATGCTGCAGTATGAAGCTGTCAAGTGAGGCTGTAGAAACAATAACTACATAATAGGAGTGCTCGAACGCAGGTTGGTGAGGGGAGGTGATTAACATAAATGCTTCCGCTCTATGAGCAGCTTTTGCTGGCCTGAAGGAAATGTTAAATGTGCTGAGGGAGTTATCAGTGTTTTCCGCACAGCCAGCGAGCACACAGGACAGCTAATTGGCTTCAATTAGACAGAGGCCAGTGTAACATATTTCATTAGGAAAGAGAGAGAGCGTAGTACAGGAACTTTCTTACCAATCATCTGTCTGCACATTATTTTGCTCATGTAAATGTATAGGTGCACAAAAAAGCAAAGAATTAAAAACGTTTAGTTGCTGCCATTTACGAGGCTGTTGTGGATCAGAGCCCTGATGTTGTGTCAGCAGAACAGTACCCACTACCCACCGTATTAGAGGTTCCTGCTTTTTTTTATTTTGCATAGAAGTGCGTGAGACAGATGGTGCAGCCTCATGTCATTAGATGGGAAGACTGTAAGTGTGTGTTTCTGAGAGAGAGATGAGAGGGAGAGAGAGGAAGACAGACTGACTTTCGCTGACCAAGCGGAGCCGGAATCCATCGCTAAGCCTGCAAGTTAAACAAACACATTTCAGTGCGGCTGGTTGGAGGAACGAGCATTAAATCAATTACATGCCATTATCCTACTTTCATATACAGTATGAACCACACATCTGCCCATTTGGATTTGAAGCCAAATCCTGTTTTCAATTGTCCACTTTAACCTCATGCCAGGTCTTGTGCTGCAGAGTTCAGATTTTCACATCTCTACCTGAATGTAATGCTGCTTTTTGCACACAGATTACAGTATGTGCCCTAGCCAAGCTGTGCACAATTCATACATTTACATTTCAGGTGGATTTTTGACAACTGTAATTACATGTGACAGGCCAAGGGAAATACGGGTATGTTTTGTGTTTTTAACATCATTTGTGATGGTGAGTCAGTGAGCTGTAAGGGCTCTGGTCCTTAAAGAATAACCTTATCAGATAGAAAACATGAATCACTTGACTTTGCTTTGTTGCTGTATTTCTTTGAAAGCCTATTTATAATTGAGAGCAGGAGAGGGAATGGACCAAGAAATAAAGGAAAGAAAGCAAACTGCAGAAAACTCCTGAGATGGAAAAAGGGTAAAGATCAAGAAGAGACGCCTGAAAGATGAAAATGTGCTTTGAACATATACTCAGAGAAATGGGAGTGCAGTAAGTGAAAAGAAAAGATGGAGATGGCGCTACATTTAGTTGGTGTTTTGCAGGGAACAGACTCTTTTTAGATGTGTTGCAGATTTTATGATGCAATTTACCATTTACTACAATTTACCAATTTACTATGTGCCTTTGAGGAACTGTTGGAGGTTTTTCTTCAGAGGCTTAGGGCTTGAGTGTGTTCGGTCGCCTCTACAACCGTGTCAATGAAGTCATGGCTAATGCATGTGATGTGATTTCTGTCCTGCGGCTGAAGTAGACATGGGTGCTTCTAATCCACAGGATACAGTAGGTAACCAATTCAAGCGTGTTGTGTCTAAGCAGGGTGTGAGGTGAAGATAACTCAGAAAGCCGACAACATGGATTTCTGTATGTGATCCAGTGAAGCTGCCAATGGCTGAGGGAGCAGACAGGCTTTGCGCTGCAGACCAAAGTATTTTGTATTTAACAATATTTTTTAAGGTGGAAAATATTAATGTTGGGAACCAAATTCGATGCACACATAGTGCTTGGCTGTATAAAAAACGACACGTGCATACAAAATTATAATTTAGCCGGATGATTTATCTTTTATGACGATTGGACAGGTACTGTCTTTGATATTTTTTGTGAGCCAAACCTGGCAACACTGGTTGCAGCTAACTGGTGACTTGCCATGCCAGTAGAAATATGTATGCAACAACAGCTATCAAAAACAAAACAAGCTAACCAGGCTCACTTTGTCCAAGGCTGGTGGCAGAAATCTAGTGAGAAAAAGGAGCAGCAGGTAGAAGCTTGTCAATTATGTAAATCTGTTTATGATTGTTTTCAGCCAGGTGGTGTAAGTTCGACATAACTCAAGCACAGCTGGACTCAACCAACTTATCCTCATACAACACTTTGAATATGATATATTACGAAAACATTCCCGAAAACATTCCCGCTTGTTACGTGCATACAGTCTTTTCAAAATATAGTTCCGTCTTCACAGGAAACCACTCGGTTATGTTTTGGAAAAGATTGTGGTTTAGGTTAAAATAACTATGGAAGTGACGTTACTTAAGTACGGCAGTTACGCGACAAATAAATCATTGTTGACTTCTCGTTTCACACGGGGCACAAACCACAGTCTCCTGGGTGAAAGACTGGTTTTTGTTTGACCCATCCACCCCTCAGGCCCGTTCTGTGTATGTTTTTGTAGTCCTTAAAACTTCCTTTTTTATAATTACTTGGATTACATACAAATTGATTTTGTACAATATCACCAAATTACAGTGCTTTCATTTTTGTAGGTATAGCTACGAACGCCGTATGAGAACAGCTGGAAACACAATAACTTTTTTTTATATTTTACTGTATTTAGCATTGAGGTATAAACAAATGTGATATTACAAAGACATGACCAGAGCAGTGAGTTTGTACCAGTATTTGATTACCCTGAATATAGAACTAGCACAAAGTCAGCATGGAGTGCTGCTCGGATGTGAAAAAGGTGTCCCTCTGGTGCTTTTCAGTGTGGGGATCCTCCTAGTTAAGTTAAGCTAGTGTTTTATAAAAAAAAACTAAAAAACTTGAATAGTTTATGGCTATTTAGTGCTGTTAAAGAAGAAGAATTAGCGCAATTGGCTCGAGGCTGTCTGGATCAATACATTACAGTCATTTAGCAGACGCTTTTATCCAAAGAGACTTACAATTCAGATTATATCACACCGTAGGCACAGCTACGGGAGCAATTGTGTGCTTAAGTGTCTTGCTCAAGGACACATCGACATGCGACTAGCAGAGCCGCCGATCCTCTGATTGAAGGGCGGCCCTGCTCTCCACTTAGCCACAAAGACAGCTTGATCGTATTGGTCATCATGTAAGAAAGGGCAGTAGGGCAACCATTTTCACTCTCTGACATATGCTCCCCTCCTGTCTCTCTCTGTAACAGATGATGACCACACGCTGCGGATCCTGCTCTACTCACTCATCTTCTTTCTGAGTGTGTTCGGCAACCTGCTGATCATCGTGGTGCTGACGGTCAATAAGCGCATGCGCACCGTGACCAACACTTTCCTGCTGTCGCTCGCCGTCAGTGACCTGATGATGGTTGTCTTCTGTATGCCCTTCAACCTCATCCCCAGCATCCTCAAGGACTTCATCTTTGGAGCCGCCATGTGCAAGATAGTGTCCTACCTCATGGGTGAGAGGAGGGGGGGCATTGAGGCAAATATACAGACTTTCTATCTGTAGATTTGCCATCATTCTCTACATTCACTATAATAACATACCTGTGTATGTATGGAAAACAAATCCCGTCCTTGTTCAATTATTCACTTCTTCTAGCATTTCGTAGACTTAAATATTAGCTTACTCAATCAGCTGATAAAAAAAACCAACAGATCAATTTATAGTGAAAACATTGTTGGTTGCAGCTATATTTATGAAGGACAGCCATCATCTTGATGCACTGAGGAAAACGTGGACAAACCCAGGGGAGAAACTGTAGGCTGATTGTTCTTTGCTTCTGTGGGATCTGCTCTAAAGCTGCCCTCATTGGTACGGACACAACACAGTGCACCCCTGGGTCCTGCCTCGCACACACACACACACACACACACACACACACACATAGTCTGTATTGTGTCTTTTCTCGTTGAGGACGTGGATAAGAGAAGTAAAGAGTAATTTCCCGTCTTGCCCTGTCAGGGGGAGATGGATGATAACATCAGGTCAACATGATTTCTTCTACCAAGACTAAGATAACCATCCCTACCTCCTATCTCACACTATACTCATTTGTTAGCCCATTTCCACAGGGCGCCACGTTTTGTTCTCGGTTATGATTGCAGATATTATGTGCGCATCGACAAACATGTTTTTATTACTTTTTTTATTACTGGCCCACTCTCTATTCTGAGCGGTAATAACTTTACATTCATCAAAAGAAAAGATAGCATGGGTGTCTTCTTACAATTTGAAATAATCTGTTTTGTTATTCCACAGGAATATCAGTGAGCATATCCACATTTAGCCTGGTTGCCATCGCGATCGAGCGCTACAGCGCCATCTGCAACCCCCTGAAGTCGCGGGTGTGGCAGACCCGTTCCCACGCCTATCGGGTGATCGCTGCTACGTGGGTGCTAGCCCTCGTCGTCATGATCCCTTACCCAATCATCAGCGACTTGGAGTCTTTTCATCGTCCTGACAACACCACTGCTCACCAGTGTCGCCACATGTGGCCCCTCCCAAAAGCAGAGCAGGCCTGGTGAGTGTTTACCGTAGATGGTGGGTCCTTTAAGCAATCCCAGTTCTTTAAAACGGTTTCTTGAATATGTCCAGAATGACTGTGTTGACATGCAACCATGTGGAAAAGAATCGTTAGCTAGAAACGTTAACTAGCATTAGCCACCATAAACTCAAGGATTGCTTTTGTTGGCTCAACAACCACATTTAAGGTATTTTTAATGTTAAAATAGTCACATTACATGAAGTTTGTAAAGAAAAAGATATACAATGATTTTTTTTTATGAATTAGAAAAAGTGGAGGAATGGTTTTAGTTAAGAAGTGCTGTAAATTTAACTGGAGCTGAAGGAAACACGAGCTGCTTTTCCTTCACCATCATTTCCAGAGTAACCGAGCACACAGCAGATAAATGCAACTTAACATAAAACCTGCACTCAGATCATCCATCTTGCTAGCCATCTGGACAATGTGTGGTTTTGTATCAAATCAATTTCGGATGACCTGCGTCTGAATGTGTGTGTGTGCGAGTGTGTGTACTTTCAAACATCTCATTTACTTCCATGTTAGGAAGCCTGTCTTTAGCAGCTCTCACTTTCTGCCTGTGTGTGTATTTCACTGCTTTTGTGTTTGAATGTCTTTGTCTGACTGTCGGCTTGCTTGTGGGTGTATAAATATGTGCATGAGCACCAAGTCTGTGTCTCTAGTGTATTACCCTTTGATTTGATTTTAACAGAGAAAAGCATTATTTTTATCTGAAAAGAATTTAAATACACAAAAGGTAATTTTTCAACATTTACAGCTGTTATGAAGCTATTTTAAGATTCCCCAAAGACTTACCATCTGGATGAAAGAATGCTTTATAAAAAAATGATTTTGGGTGTATTTTATGCCTTTATTAGAATGCAATAGTGGAGGAAAACCTTTGTCTAAAACTTATTTCTATTCAGTACACTGGAAACATTTTGTACAACGCAATAAACATGTTCTTTTGTCTGAAAATCTAAATTACAAATATATGTTTCTTATTTTGGTAGACATCACACAAGCTGAGCAAGGACATATGTCATTTTGAATTAGGAAGACAGTTTTTTTTCTGAAAAACAAAACAAAAACAATGCTTAGCTCTGTGACTCAAACATAAAGGTAATGGTAATACATTTATACGTGAGATGTACAAACTGGGGCTACATGAATGTCTGAATTCATGGACATTGGGATCTTTACCCTATTTATGTCTCTCATAGGTACATTTTGCTGCTGCTTGTGCTGTTTGCAATCCCGGGGTTGGTGATGATTGTGGCCTATGGATTGATCTCCAGGGAACTTTACAGAGGCATCCAGTTTGAGATGGGCCACAAAAAAGACTCTACCGGTGAGATCATGTACACTGCATGTGGAAAACATACAGACAATAGTAGGGTTAATGTCCCAGAGGGCAATTTGGCTCGCAGACAGCAGCCAATCAATACAAATAAAAAAAGTAAAGCAAGGAGTAAAAAATGCTGATTCTAGGAACTTTCTGCACGGAGACAGACAGATGGACGGGAGGGAGACACTTTATTTGAAGTTACATTAGTTAATCTACATGTATGGATTCACAATATCTGAGAATGTTTTGTTTCTCAAACTGAGATTACCAAACCAACATTTTCAACAGATGTAGATGGACCAGAGCAGGAATAATTTTTTAAATTTTAGGAAAATAAGACTTAACATGTGAGGGTGGCTCATGCAGGTACTGTACATATGAATACCAAATAAATTACATTATTCAATATTAATCTCTAGAGGGGTGTTCGGTGGCCCATGCGCCGTGCCGTGCCGAGCCACTAATTAAAACAAACGTAATGTAGTTAATACGACCTATCAATGACTACTTACTTATGTTACTTAATTTACATAACCCTAAACATACTTATTTTAGCCCTGACTATGATCTTTTGCCAAATCTAAAAAGTAGTTTTGTTTTCTAAACAATGTTTAAAACTGCGACCGAGCACCCGTATGAGTTGGGAATGAGAGTTAAATTACATGTAAAAAGCTTAAAATACATGCTACTCCTTCCCATGAGATCACATTGTGTCAAACTGTGTCTCTTGAATGTCATCACAATATCCAGCCCCTACCAGCTACACTCTAATGTTAGCATTTACATGTGAATGATGAGGAATTTCATTTTAATCACAACGATATCATTAGCGCTACAATCATTGTAATGTGTGCAGGTTAAGTGGAGCGTAACCTTTTGTGGGCATGTGCGAGTGCGTCTAGGAGGATAGCAGCATTGAGTGTATTTGCCGGTGCTCCATTAGAGGATGGAATTGGCTGGCAGCTGCGAGCCCGGACATCCCCATCTGTTTGGTCTCAGAGAGAAAGAGGTTGTCCAAAAAATATATAAAATCCAGCTCAAGAGACAAAAAGCATGGGTTAAAAAAAACTGGAATAAAGGACATAGAACTTCTAAAATAACAATTTTGATTTAAAAATCCAGGCGTGGTTTACTACCGTACCAGTTTCTGTTTGCATTTGCTTGACTAGAAGCTCTCATTGTACTTTAATGTCAATTCAATTTGATTATTAAATTACAACATTCCCTGCTGGATGATTGCTGTGGCTCAGAAGGAATTGCTATTCAGTCTTTTTTTCCACCAAGGTGAACTGCTGCTCTTTGAAGAGCTATGATTCACCCAAAAATAAACTAAGAAATGGGTGAATGTGTAATCACAGAGCTGTGCTTATTTGTTCATTTAAGATTTTCCAAAATGAACTGGCTGTAGGACGTCTCATGACTTCCCTGTTCAATTTATTTTTAATCCAGTGGCAGGCAGAGGTAATTTTAGAGTTTTAAATACAATACATTTGTGTCACAGTACTACTTTTTTTTTTACTCTGCACTCCCACCACAGATGTGAAGAATGGACTCACCTCCGCTGTGTCTACTGGCAGTGATGATGGAGATGGTTGCTACGTTAATGTTGTCCAGCGGCCACACTCGATGGAGATGTCCACCATGGCTGCATCCAGCAGGGCAATCAAGGCAGAAAGACCACGCAGCAACACGTCCGAGGCCAAGCTGGAGGCCAAGAAGCGGGTTATCCGCATGCTGGTGGTCATTGTTGTCCTGTTCTTTCTCTGCTGGATGCCTCTGTACTGTGTCAACACCTGGCGGGCTTTTGATGACATCTCCGCCAAAAGTGCCCTCTCAGGGACACCCATCGCTTTCATCCATTTGTTGTGCTACACCTCTGCCTGCGTCAACCCAATTATTTACTGCTTCATGAACACACGTTTCCGCAAAGCTCTGCTGACCACGTTCGCGTGCTGCGCTGCACCGTGCCGCCACCACCGCCGCCGTCGTAGTGGGCTACGGGACAACGAGGAGGATGCTATGGCAATGGGAGCGTCCATGTCTAAGTTCAGTTACACCACAGTCAGCACCATGGGAACCTGCTGAGGCAGATGGATACAGGCATAATCCAGAAGAGACAGTTACTGCGGGAACACAGCACCCCACATCCTTTGTCTTTAGGCCTATTCTGTACTCATAGGGACAGTAATGTGGACTGGAAAAAACAGGCCAAATAGTGTCGTAGGATAGAAGCTTCAACCATGACTGTGAGTAAAGTTATGTAGGGATCATTTAATGAAACCCAGTCTTACAGTGTATATACCTCCATAGCTATAAATGAAAAAAGCACAGAAAAAACCCAGATTGTACATTTATCTGTTGTCACAGTTGACCGAGACAAATTGGCTGTTGAGATGTTTACTCATATGTGTGTGTGACTTCAGTGGTGGGCTGTAAGGCATTTTAATAACTTTGTAGTCATTATGTAGCTTTAAAAAATAGGAAGACTGTTTGCTATGTAACTTTAAAATTGTTTTTTTATACTGTGCGGTCGGTTGTGTATCTGTGTTAATGACAGTAATGTAATTGCCTTGTGGACTAAGTGCCTGGTTCTAAATACTATGTCATATTTGTCTATTGCTGATTTGTCACACTCATCAGGGGCACCATTATCACAGGCAAAGTGTAGCCCGAAGGTTCCTGGAAGTGGAGTTTAAAGACTAAAAAGATCTTCTAAACAAACTGAAACTGAATTTCGTCCTGATGGGACCCGACAAAAGAGCAGGTTGTCAGTTCTCCATGGCTCCGTGGTTTGCAGAAAACACTTCAGTGGTATAAAAAGCTTAGACGGGCAGTGCTGATGCCTTGTGTTGTGGTTTGATACTGTAGTGCTAGCCACCTTCGTGTTTTTGGAGACAGCTTTTTCTGTATATGCTGTAATGTTTGTATTGTGTCCTTGCAGGTGAACACACTATATGAGAAGGATGACTTGGCACTTGAATTGTGTTTCTTTCTCATGGGTAGCGATGTGACCATTTAACGGGTCCTATATTATTATATTCCTGACCGTATTAGAAAAACACCACTGAGTACAGCAGAAGGTTCTGTGTTTTGCTATTGCTTTGAGGACAAAACATGTATTAGACGTTGATGAAGTCACTAGTAGTAAGCTTATAGCTGACACAAATATGTTATATACGTACCATATGGCAACATGGATGGGTGATTTTTATGTTAAGTTTACTGCAGCCTTATGCTTTCAAGGAGACAAGTTCCCTTAGTTCAGTGACTTGCAGTCTCTGTTAATAAATTCACTTTCAGGTTTACAAAAATGACAGCCAGGTTTCAGAGGTCTCTGTTGGTCAGGCCCTGTCTAGCGTGCCTGACTCTGGCTCCCCTGCTCACTTCATACTAATTGTGTTACAACCTCAACCCTGCCAGGCTGAACAGATGAGCATATTTCACTGAGTGCACCAAAGCACAATGCTGTCAGCCTCTCAACTAATAGATGGATGCCCAAACTTTGTAAGCATTTTTTGGAAGATTCTAAATTGGCCTGCAGCTTTTGTGGTTTATTGTGTGCATCGTTCCCTTTGTATTCAAAATATGAATCATAGTGAAGCATTACTATGAGATTAAACTACAGTAAGACAGAATTTGATCAGCCGAAAGCTCAAACTACGTTACGGAAATATAAAAGCAAATTACAATCTTGTCGACACACCTAAACTAGGTCAACAAAATTGTACAATTACATGCTAATCAATTAGTATCTCCTGCAACCTTATCTTTGCGTGTCCAGTTCATGTCTAGTGCAGAGAGCAAGACAACGTGACAGCCAAAACATCACACTGACCGTCCCCTTGTCTCACTGTACAGACAGGCCCCGTCATCTTTGAAACACAAGAGGCGCACATTCAACTAGTTGCTGAGTTTGTCTCTGGCCTTGGTGGCCATGTGCCACATCTCTTAAAGTGAATAAGATATTTTGCATGTAAACAGCAGACAGGAGGTATTTATGTCTGTGCTGTTGTTTATGAGTGACACTTGGAATGTGTGTTTCTTTTCTCGGTGAGAGGCTGATTGCCATTTGACGTTCTGATTTGATGCCCAATCCACACCAGCTCATCCAGTCGCCACAAACACACATACACAGAGTTCTCAGCTTCAAATGGTTACTATATATTTATTTACACACTTGCGCACAAACAATTACAGACAGATGCTAATGATTAGTTCCTTTCCTCCTTTACAAAATTGAAAATTAATTCTCAGTATAAAAATATCTGTGATGACAAGTATGCAGTGGGTTGGATCCTTAATTGACATCTTCCACTTATGTATAAATACACTTCTTTGTGAACAGAAGTACTAAAGGTTACTGTAAACACCGCCTTCAGTCCTTTGTTTAAAAATCACGTAGGTTATCATATATTTATCATATATGTGTAATGGCAAATGGGTCATCCATCACTGCAGCTACCCTCAGCTACAGTGTTTTTATTTATTTTGGATCATATTTTTGGTTTTCCAGCTCTCATCCTCCAGCTGCAGCAGGCAAGCTGTTTTCAGCAGATAATCCAGCTGTACACTATACAGTATGTGCACAGCACCAAACAGCACACGGACTACGTTATTGACTATTTGGTGAACATAGAGGAATATCTAGCTGCTTAAGATCAAGATATTTTTCAGGGGTTGGTGGAGGCCAAATCTCGACTTAAATTTATTGGGTGACCACAAAAATAACTCTGAATTAATGTATTTTCCCGGCTGTATAAATAGGCATCTGTTTGCTAACATGTTAGCAATAACAACACAGGATAATATGTCAAGCTTGTTCCACTGAACCCAAGAGGTATAAACAAATCATCTACTGCAGCTTTAGTGTTAGTGTTGAAATACAGCATCTGAGCTATCTCAAACGCTGGACAAATGAATCTATCTGCAGAAAGAAAGAGGTGTTATTAAGAAAATGGGTGTTTTTTTCATAGTCAAATAAGACCTTTTAAGTTCAAGTAAGAGAACACGATATTATAAATGTCTGCTATTATAATTCCTACTTTGGTGTGTAAATATAAAACACATTGTTAGAGGGATGAAAGTGTTCACTGATTACTATCCTTAATCAATCATGTTCAGTCAAGACAACGAAGTGGCCTTTACAGACTGACAAGTCCTCACTCATTCTTGTGATTATTATGCCTCTGCTGCTCTCTCCTCTCCACCTAGACTACACAAAACTGTTACCGGCAGCGTTGATTGATTTTTCCATTCCACCGCCATTGGTCTCCACCATGTTTAGCTTCCTATTACCATTTTTTGATGATGGCATCTCGCACCTTTAGCATTTTGTGTGCCCATATCTCAGTGATGTGTCTGTTGGGCTCTTGGGGGCTTTATTGTATTCTCAGCTAAATCTCTCACCGCTGCTGAGATTGCAAAGCAAAGACCAGAGCATGTTCCTCCAAATAAAAGTGTAACCATTTGTTACAGTAAAATGTTCTTCGATTCTTTGACACAAGTGTCCCTGATAAATGGTGCGTCTGTGCTCAGAGTGAGTGCTGCTAGTGAATGATAAGGACACTGTCCACATGTGCAGCAGGGGGAGTCTCTGGGGCTCAGGTGTTGGCAGGGTCGTAATTGTTTGAGGAGCAAAATTGCCTGACTGGGCTACAAAGCCAGTTGGATTCATGACAAATCCGATATAAAAAGAGTCTTGGTTATCTGATTTGCAAACACAACTCCTTTCCACAATGCCCTAGCAATGTAATTGAACTGTAGCGGTTGGTTTTGCGGTTCGTATGAATTTCAGCTTGCCATTTCGGAGAAGGTAGTTGATAATTAATTACTTTTAAAGTAAGAGATGTATTATTATCTTGAGGTATTAATTATAGTCCTATGTTTGATTTCATACAATTTAATGAGATGGATCATGTCAGCACATTTTAAACTAAAATAAAACAGCACTTAAGTTAGATTTTGACACAGGGCCTTTCTACAAGATGGCCACAATATTAGCTAATAATGAAAGTCCTACCTTCATTGATATTGTATTTTTGTGGTGCAAATTCACTCACACATTTGCAATGAATCAAGCTACACGGTGTATTTAGGGCTTTTGGGGGCCCCTAGATTTCTGGAGTCCCAGGATAGTTTACAGTTTTGTCTGACTGGTAATCCAGCCTGTACACATTTGCTTATAAAATGAGAAGCTCATTTCTGACACAACAAAGGTGTAATTGTCCCTTGGGAGCACCAGAAAAAAAACTCCACAATGCAGCCTTTTTTTGACAACAAAAATCTTTGTTGTCGAGTTTATGTGATGACCGATCTCCTGCACGCGGTAACTTGCTATGTTATGTTTTAATATATTCTTCAGTGTTGTATTATAATGAAGATGTAGTAGTTATTTCAGCCATCATGTCAATATGATCCATGCAGAGTGAGTGTAGAAATAATAATGTGGAACGTGATGACGAGGGTTAAAGACCGCGTCGTCTGGGTATTGTTTCATTATTGTTAATGTTTACTGTCTCTGAGGCAGATTTTGGATTAGTGCAGCCATCTTCCTGTGAACGTCAGCGACGATACAGTATGTGGACACACAAGCCTTCTTTAACAACATCCAAATATAAATTGTATCCGCTCCATATCTGCGCTCATACCTGCTCATCTGTATCATTATTAATATACACATTGTATTCTGAATTGTACTGAAATCAGGTGTTAACAACATGAAATATTAATGTGAAGTATTCTCTTGTATATCGTGATGTTCCGTGAAGGAAAGAGCTGATCTTGTGTTTCAGTGATCTGTAGTAGTACTCCATGTTTCCAAGCAGCTTGTACAGGCCGCAGGCTCATATATGGGATGAACAGGGTTGAAGGGTTAGGGAAGAATACAGGGGCACATTTAGATCTACTCGAACGGTCACAGTTGCCAGGCCACCATTGCCTTAAGTGTGTTTTGAGTGTACAGTTGCTGTATGTAGGTGTGTGTGTGTGTTTGTATGTGTGTGTCCCTCATGCATTTACTACATGATCCACTTTTGTTTGAGGCAAAACAAGAGCTGGAGATGAAAGCATTTGGCAGCCTTGTTTCCCCATCCATGGTGAAGACATGGACAGAGCTTTCTGTGACTATATTGTTCTTTCTGTGACAACAGTGACAACTTTGAGAAAACAATGTGAAAAATAGTTGATGTGGTTTTCTTGGCTGCTGTCCACACTGTTATCTTAACAAGTATGTTTGTGCTGCTATGACGCTGTAAGGCCTTAGGTGTTGACTTGCGGTTTGGAATGTGTAGTTTTCCGTTCTGTTTTATGCTCACGGAGGAGCTTCAACAGGTCTACCTCCCTTATGACAGGGCAGATTCATTGCTATTATGATTGTCATTACAGCCACTATTCGTTGTTCCTGACTTAGCAGACCGGAGGGATGTGCTATCTGTCAGCATGAGGATCATCTGGATAACATTTGTGTATTTTAAGTATGGAAAGTGTGTGTGTGTGTGTGTGTGTGTGTGTGTGTGTGTGTGTGTGTGTCAGAGAAGAAGCCATATTTATAAAGTGGAGGCAGATCGTGCACCATTTGTCTGGTGTGATCTTTAAGATTTAAGGCTTACTAAGTTGGTTTTCCTCATGTCTAACATATACACATTTTGTGTGTTTTGCTTTCTTTCTCTGTCTCTCTCTCACACACACGGTTATAAATGTGTATGTTGGGTGACAAAAGAGCTGGCTGTACTTTGCTTTTGTGTGTAATGTTACGTAATTCTAATAAAGTCAAATTATACCTCTCCTTGTGTATTCGTTGACACTCTACTGCAAATATAAGTCAATTTTCTTCCTGTGCTTTGGGTGCTTTTCATGAATTTTAATCGTCTTCACTGACCATTTAAGTGGAAACAGAAGAGCAACACATTTATCAGGCATCATCTCTCCGTTTCAGCTGCTGTGAGCACTTAAAGCCTTTAAGGCCATGCTGAAACTCTAGAAGGCAAAGTGCACAGGCGATGCCACAAACTCATGCTTAGTTGGTAGTGTTGCTTGGAGTGGTCTTAATGGAATCAAAAATAAATTTAATGTTGGCTTAGTTACTCTTTACATAGCTCCTGTATTGTCTCTCAAAACACCAACAGCACTTAAATTCTAAATAAATCTTTATCCTTCACTACTGAAATAACCACTTGGCCTTAATGTACAGTAAAACATACAAAAACCTGTAACAAGAGCATTCCATCACACGCAGTAATGAAAGACTTCATGCATGAGAGCTCAGCAGAGATGTGCTGATTAGCTTGACCTTCATAACACAATTGCTATCAAGCTGGCAGCTGTTTAATTGTAATGGATAACAGTGTGTGCGGGAAAAGGTACTCACTGGAAACAAAAATAAATAAATTAGGTTATGTTTAATGGAGGACTATTGGTGAAGGATGTACTCGCCATCAATACAGCGACTCTGACAAGGAGAAGCACTGCCTGCTAATTCATGAATGGACGAGCATCTGGCCCAGAAATCAATGTGGACTTAAAAGGATTTCATCACCTGTCAATACTGACACAAATCCTTTCAGCCCCTAGAGAATATAATTACATGCATCTTGCCTGCTGCTCTCACTGAGACACAGTTTGACATGTACAAAAATAAAACACTTAGACTCAAAAAGGTAAAGTGTTGTATTTTGTTATAGCTGGCTTCCTACGCAGCAGCTACTTTCCTCAACTAAAAGAGACATGAAAAAAAATGTATCTACCTCTCCTTGGACCATTAACTACCGATGTCATCAATTACCTAAAGCCAGTAAATTTCTGGGAGCAATTACCAATGATGGCAATCTCCTGCTTCACATCCTCCAGTCATCACCTCAGCCCAAGAATGGGAGGTTACAGAGTGCCTGAACTCTCGCCTTTTGGGAGTTGGAGGTGTTTGTCTCTGTGAATGCACAGGGACATACAATATATTGATGTAATAGCAAAGTTTATTTATATAGCACTTGTATGAGGTGTTACAAAGTGCAAGGAAAACAGAAACAAATGCATGTACGAAGGGAGATCAGTAAATCATACACATTTGATTGGTCACCCAAAATGTAGATCAGGTCATACAAATATGTGTTACATCAGTACATATACATACATACATATAACAACCTACATCAGGGGTATTCAATTAAAATGCAACGAGGTCCATGTGCTATGATTTAGTTCCATATATATTGAAGAGCCCTACAGTTGTATTAACGTCTGTATGTAGTCAACACCTGACTGTCAAATCAAATAAAGAAAGTTCAATTGAATAATATCTCAACAATATTTATTATTAGTTTTCAAATTGAACTGGATGAATTATAAATAATACATGATCTAATAATAACAAATGTTATTCTCTCGTTTCAAGTAAAATAATGGATGCATTTAAGAATAAATTACAAAATAAATACTTAATTTAAGAAAAATGTATTTAACTGAATTGTCTTTGCCCTGCAGCTTTAAATTCAGTTCATTCAGGTGTGAAGTGATGTCACACAAAAACAGCCATATTCTTGTCATCTTCTAAAAAGAGAAATTTGTGTACGGGGACTAAATCTGTGGTTATTGAAACCACTTGTTTCAGCCTCATTCTCCTCTCTGTTTATCATTGTTGGGCAGTGAATTCATGTGTTAGGATTCTAATTGATCAATCATTTTGGGCTCTTAGGTTTATTTTTGTGCCTTCATTTCAGATTTGATACATTATCAAATAGATGTGTGCTTTGTCTCTTTGTAGTGCTTTACATTACCGTTTTATATAATCGTCACGGTCTCTGAACATATGAGACAGACATGTTTTAAACTGCCCGTGGGAAGAATTAACATTTAAGAGTCTGTCCATTCTTGGTTAAAGGCTTTGGTCTCGCTGACCACATATCTGATTTTGAACGTCATGTGAAATAACTTCTGACTCACGTATTATTCTCCGACTATTCGGGCTCTCGCCCCGTCTCCCCTGTGTTTGTAAATCTCACTCGAGTCGGGAAGCTTATCGGAATACATATATTTGATTGGCTGAGCAGCATCACGTGATGCGATTTGTAACGCATGTAATTGGTCGTTGTGTTTCCTGGACCGTTGAACGAGTGCCATAAAGGCTGAAAAAGCTGCGCTGGTTAAAATAGAAGCGCTCCGTCAAAATTTCGGTTTCAAAAATTTGTTTTAGGTCCAGGGTCCAGGTGCAAAGGCATCTGGGTCCGGACTCAGGACCGTAGTCTGAATCTGAGTTTGGTTCATACAGTACACCTTGACCTGGGACCATTCAACAGGTTTCTGTTTGAGGGCCTCAGACTGTACAGGTCTGTGATGTTCTGATTTTCTGTAGGTGAGGGTTCATTTCTAAGACCTGAATGCAACTGAATACAGTATGAGCAGATCAATACTGTTGATGCATGGCACATAAAATCTTCTCATCACACAATGTATGTTTTCACAAACACAATGTCATAATTCTACATCGGTGTTCATATGGCTAAAGAAATGTAAGGCAACTATGTGGACACCCCTGCATCCTAGTTCCAGTCATGGGGAATGTAAATATTACAGTGCACAAATTTATACAATAGTGTGCTTCAAACTTTGTTGCAACAGTCGAGGGCCCTTTTCTGTTTCGACATGAGAATGCGAGTGCGCATTGAAGGCCTGATCAGACAGAGAGCGTTTTGCATGTTGTTGCTGTGAAGTGACATTTTAGATCAGGAACGAATGCAAGGGAATGATACATTGTATATAATATAATGTAATATAATATGATGGTGTATTAAAGGTTAATAGTGACACAAAATCTGACCTTCATATTAATTCCTTGAAAAAGCGGTGCCATCAGATCCAGGCATAAGCACTTTTTGTGTTTGCGCATTCACTTTTGTGTTTGTCTAACCAAGAAGCCAGTTTTAGTTTAAACAACTATAGTGTTGAAATTGACCACGAGAGTTTGAACGACAGGTTGGTTAAAGTATATATGATATACAAGCAGGCAAACAGTCATAGAGTCTGACAGATATATAATGCAGGCATTATAGTCATGCTGATGTAGCATGCGGTCAGGCCGCATGCAGAAAGACAGACATGCAGAGCAACACAATGACTCGCATCACTGCAACACAGCAGCCAGCAGTTTACAGACAAAGGATTACAAGAGAATAAATAATAAAAAGAGAAACACAAAGCATTTTGGGGAGTCTCTCTTTCAGTCGACTTGCTTTTGAATGGAACATTTCATCAGTCAATTTCAGTAACTTAGCAACTAACTCTGTGATCAAAAGAGATCTTTTTCACTGGGATGCAAGTTTCTTACCAGATATAGAAAAATGATTTTGCACAAATAATAGCACATGTCTATTAATATCTGCTATTCCTTTCAAATTCCTTTTCAGCCCCTTGTTATTATAATAATAATCTATTTGAGCTCCATCCACTGCTATAATGTTTGCTCCGACTAGCCACCGCAGACATGGGGCAGAAAATAACTTGTCCAAGGAGGTTAAGAAATGGTAAGACTGAAGGTACAATTTACATTGCAAAACGATATGACTTAAGTTGGAAGTGACTTTGATGCGTGCATGTTGTTGTCTCCATTTTTCTGATCCTTTAGTTTTTATCTATACTCAGGCGTGTGCCAAATGAACTAACATGTCCGTCATACTTATTAACTTCAGGTGAGAAGAACAGAAAAGAAGTCAGAGAGGAGAAGCTGACCATGTAAAACCAACAAAAAAGGACTGCATGAGGTGTAAATGAATAAAGGGGCATAAAGGGGGTATTGTTTAATGACTCCTCCATCTCCTCTTACCTAATTGTCACATTGAAAGACAGGATGGAAAAATGGAAAGGGCGCTTCAGAGAGCCATGTAAATGACAAGAGTGAGTTGTAATGCAGCGTACAGCAATTCCATAGACTTGATGGAGCTCAGTGTGGATATTACTTCCACATGGCTAAAAGCCTACCTAGGAGAAGACCAAGCTCTCTTACTTTCCAAACTTACTACTTTAAAATCCATTACGGAGCCATTGCCATTTCCTGTGTAGAACATGGATATACTCCAATTATGTTCATTTACAAATTCAGGCTGTTTGAGGAATTTGACAACTTGTCTTCTAAAATGAATTCTGGAACAAATGCAAAGTTACTCTGAAATATGTGCTAACGTCACCTGATTTTAGGAGTGGCATCTGAGGCTTATTATTAAGGCAGCGGATTGTAAGGAGGTTCAGGGAAGGGAGGGCTTTACGTAGACCTGCCAGTGAGACAGACAGATGACCCTTAGGTTGTTTCAACATGCTAACAGGATATCTCCACAGGGGAAAGCGTAAAGAGCATTAGAGACGTGATGTGATGGAAAGGCTGATTATTGGGAAATTCAATAGGTTTCGGGCCACTTTGAGGTCACCAGGCTAATGGATGGTGACACTGCAACTCTCAACGGTGTTACTGTGAGTAAATAATAAATTACCAATCAAACAAATCATTTTGTAGTCTGTTTAATTTGCATTTCAATTCATAAAATCCATATCTTCAATTTGAATTGATTTGAATTAATAATTTAAATGGTGATGCTGCATTTATTGGGACCAACAGGAATGATGTTCAGTAGCCATGAGAGAGAAATGAATTCCCTCATTTGCTTCAGCAAATTATAACTGGAAAATGATTGTGTCAGTTTGTCCTGTCCAACCTTTTTGTGTACGGTTTACTGTATATGTCAATTATAACGTGTGTAGCCTTATGTTGAATTACAATACATGATCTATTCTTACTTGGGAAACAATGATATTTATCAGTTTCAGGTGTACGGTTTCCGTTTCATTTACAGA